AGTATTCCAGATAAGCTGTAGGGGTATCAAAATGTTCATCATATTGGACAGAAGAAGTCATTTTATCTTGATGAAGCTTGCTGGTTAGATTAGTCTTTTTTTTATATAGTCTGTGCACATTTATGCATTTATCTCATTTGTTATTCACTTAGTGCAAGCCATCACTGTAGAAATTTGTCTACTCAGAAAATCATTTCTCCACTACAGAAATCTTAAAAACTGATTTCTGTAATTGAGGAATGAATTTTCTCTCTATTACTGTTCAATTGCCATCCAAAAGTGGAGTCTTCATGTAGCAGAAGAGGAAGAAGTTTCTTGAAACAAGGTTGGGCAAATAAGATTGATATGAAAGAATTTCGTATTCACATTTCATCGCAACTGTGGCAGTTGCAAGTATTACATGTGCAGATGCATTTTCATGAAGGAATCTAGGACTGTGGGCACGGAATTGGAGTTGAAAGCTAATTCTTAAGTTACTGGAGTCTGAGTCAGTAAAATCAGACCAACTAATTCCTAATAAATTTAATTTAATTTATAATGTATTTTTTATATATTACAATTTTATATTACAATTTAATATAAAAAATACATGTTAAAATTTCTTATTTCACAGATTTGATTAATTTGTTTTTTAGTTATATATTATATTTAAATAATAATTTAATCTTAAAAAGGAAGAGAGTTGTTAGAGAAATATGTTTCCGATTTTATTTTATAGTTTCTTTCTTTTATAGCCTATTACTTTAAACTTCATAGCGTTTTAATAAGAATATAACCTCATTTACTACATATAAATGTCTACTGGCAGGTGAAACAGGTGAATGATAAAGATTGTTTTTTTCTGAATAAGTTTCCTCAATTTGCAGAACCCAGACACCAGTATAATAAGGACACAAAGGCATATGAATTAATATATAACCTTATTGTTTTTATTTCTAAGTTTTGTCTTATGCTTAAGCCTTAAGGTGATTAAATGTTTGTAATTTTTTCAATAAATAAATAAATAAACCACAATGGCATAGCTACAGTTTTTACACCCAAACTTCAACAGGTTATGGTTCAAAAAAGTTGTCTGATTATTCATGTTGACTATATTGTATAAAGAAATTTACATACATATTAATTTGTACATTTTAATATATACAGATTAAAAGACCTGGAAGTCGCAACTGTACAGTAATACCTCGACTTACTCTACCCCGACTTATGCAAACTCGGAGTTACGTGATTTTCAAATCTCGTCAATTCGTCTTTTGTTTGAGCACCATGCAACTCTTGATTACTCACTCCCCCACACTATTGTTCAGCTTACATGTTCAGACGTGTTGCCCGGAATCACCGCATAGCTACAGTTTATTTTGTGTTATTTATTTCTGTGTTTGTTATATCTACAGAGACTTGAGAGACTCTATGTGGTGATTTCTTGTAACCGTGAACAAATCAAAAGACGAGAAGATTAACAAGAACATTTATTAGCTTACATACATCCGACTTGGATTTTACACAAATTGCTAAATTATACCCTGACTTACACAAATTCGACTTGTGCGGTTATCGCTCGGTCCCACCTATCGCATAAGTTCAGGGTATTACTGTATATGCACAAAATTTGTTTTTAATTAGAAAAAACAAGGAAGGATCAAAAGGCTTTATTTCTTGCATGCTTTCAATCAGTATAAAAATGATAAGTAATAAATACGTTCATTATATTTTCTGTATTGGTAAATAAAGGAGTAAAATACCATAAACTGAGGATTCTGTGCTTTTTCATACTGATTTCATAGCCCTAAAGGAACTGGACACCTTTGCTGAATATTTCACATATTTTTCTGTTTTATCTGTCACCCAACTTCACCAAGAAATTGTGACAATAGTCTTCAGTGATAATCTGTTATTTTTATCTAAGTAATCAGTCATGATAACACTGGCAGTCCCAAAAGACAGTGTGTGACCTTCCCAGCAGAAGATTGTCTTGGATTTATTTGGTGGCAGTGAATCCATATGTTTTCACTGCTTGTTCATTTGCTTGGTCTCTGGATCATAGTGATAGGCACAATGTTCACCCATGGTTACCAAATGATTGAAAAAAATTCATCATTGTTTTTAAACAGGTGGGAGGAATTGAGGAACTGATCTTTTAGAGATTTTTCACAAAAGCAAAATGACTTGGGGGATGGTATGTATGAATCCATAACTAGTACAGACCTTATTCATGCAGATGTAGATGGTAATTCTGTCTGACAGAACCAGGGCCTTCACTTTCTGCACCAATTCCTCATTCATCATCATTGATAGTCTACCACTTCTGGGTTCATCTTCCAGGCATGAATGACCTGTTTGAAAATGATTTTTCCATTTTCTTACCATATCATACAATGGGCACTTGTTTCCTTAGACTGCAGACATCTCAGCATAGACGGCAATGACATTTTTTCCAAGCAAAATGCAGGAATGTGATGACATCATATGCTTTCAATTTATTAGTCATGCATTTGGTTCATTTAGAATCCCTCTTGCAGTGACAACAGGAAATAGCCATATGACTGACACATGGGGATATAAAGATTCCTGGAGTTTTCTTGAATGACCCTCCCCCAGATTTTTATATTTTTGGACTCAGGTCCTTGAAATGTCAAGAAATGCAAAAAATTCAGGGGGGTTTTTTCTATATGTATGGATGTTAGTGTGTGTAGGGGGCTCAATTTTGTTTATCCTTTTTGAAGCTTAATAACTCCTGTGCTTTTTGTCAAAAATAATTTCATAAATAAAAATAAATTCATAATTTTCTTTTTTGTCCAATATGACAAACTTTTTGATAACCTCTCATACTTAAGTGTGATATCATTCAATGGTGCAATTTTTCTAAAGATTCATAAAAGTATAAGTCTAATATACTATTATTTAAAAATTAGAATGTTTGATTCCAACATTGGCATTTCAATATGCTTTCTATTTGTTTTGATATTTACAAGAATAACAAATTTTGAAATGCAATTTGAAAAGATACTGTACATGTGATACAATAAATAGCCATGTTCTGCATGGACTTGATTAATTGATTCTAGGGATTTCTTACACTATAACAAGATACTTTGATGTTTCCCTACAACTTAAATTTAACCTTTATATTTTTCCATGTTAGTTGCTACAATTGTTTCAACTACATATTTTTCTTATTTGTGTAATAGCTTGTTTACTTTTTTAAATTCAATTTTTATTAATTATTTAGTATTGTAAGATGGTATTTGATAAAATATGTATTTATCTTATACAGATACACCACCAAATTTCCAGCAACTGATGGTCCAACACTGTCTTTAATCCAGACAAAATACAAGAAGGAACTTGAAATTCCTGCAGCCATCAAACTAGTTTACTGAGCAGCCACATATGGCACTGTATATAGGGAGCACATATTTACATTATTTACACTTCACTTGATGATTATATCACAATTTCATTATTTTCTTAGTTTATTTTGCTAAAATTTAACCCTAGATATGGCATGAGTATGTCAGAGGTAGTGTCAAATGCAATTTACATTTAATATTTATTTAATTTCAGTTTCTTTAGTATACCTTAAACATATGGAAGGAATATAATTAGTGGATTAGAGATGATGAATTATATGTGACTACAGTTGGTCCAGCAAAATGATTAATCTGGCAAGGCTTTTGGAATAAAGGGTGCCAGAAATTTGATGGTGTACCAGTGTAATATTACACATACATTTTAAAGCTCTTATGTTTCTGGAACATTGAATATATCCTGCATTTGTTTTAAACAATAGCATGAGCTGAAATTGGTCTGAAAACATTTCACCTGTAATTAAACTGTTGATTTTCTTAAAGTAGGTGTATTTTCTTCTTGAAACTTATAAAATGTTATGAAGTTTTACAGAACTTCCTAATTTGAGAAGTGTTGCCGTTTATGAATATTTATATTTATTTAAAAAATTTTTAATACTATCTATATAAAATTATTTTTTTTTTTTTTTTAGAAATCTAGCATAATATCAAAGCTGTTTGAGTTCATGTCTATCTTAGAAAGCTTGAAGATTTTTATAGAAAAATAAAAACTCTGAAATTAAAGCCCATTAAATCTAGTAGTATTTGGCTTATATATATGGAAAAGATTAACATATTGGCATGCAATTTAAAGCTATCAGTGGCAGAATAATAAATGCCAAATTGTCACATGTACAGATTTAGAACCTTCAATAAATTTTTTTCTACTGTTAAGCATTTTCCTCTTTGCAGAATCTCTAATATTTCTTAGAGCAATGTTTTTCAACTGTTGGTCCACAGAAAAGTATTTGACCATACTGAAGTTGGTGTAGTTGATTATGGATGGCATTTGAATAGTAATCTAGAGTTACTGTATGTACTTTGTTACATACAGTAACTCAGATAAGCATATAATTACTTGGTCCACATAAAAGTATCCATAATTTTACCAGTCCACAATGAGAAAATGGTTGAAAAATACTGCCTTAGAGGAACTCCAAGATTCTTCAGATCCAGTTTGAGAAATTGATTTAGAGGAAGGACACACATTAAGTTATCTATGCAGCTTGAGTTTGTAAGAGATAATATTGCATGAATTAGTAACAGTGCTGACTTGATGATAACTTGATTCTGAAGCAAAACCAATTTTTGCTACATGTGTTTCCAAATAGCCAATAGAGAGCACTTTAAGCATCAGCACTCTTATATGCACTATTTATAAATAACTTCAGAGTATGTTTACAGGACTATGCTGTATTCAGCTTAATAATATTATTTATTTGTTTCTTGTTTTGAACATTTTTGACTACTAATTTTATGTCTTGAGGCAATTGCCTTGCTCATCAAACTAGCCTGATTACTAACTTATATATGAATCTTCAGCAGGACTTTGTTTGAAGGTGATACAATTGTTAAAGCAAATTTCAAAAGATTATAATTGAAGATATGAGTGGTTAAAGATGTTATGTTACAAAATCGAAGCTTTAAGTAAATTGATGATCATGTTTTGATTAAGTAATTTTTTCAGTGTAAATATTAAATAGATATATTTAATAGTGTATTGCAGTGGACATTACAGTGTAATTTAATCTATGAGGTTTTTGTTGATGGTATATGAGAGAGAGATACATAACATCATCCATTCATGTCTTCAATTGTAAATTATACAATTGCAAAGAGAAACATATGAATTTAAAAGATTCAGGCTTAATAAAATAAATTTATGAATATCTATCATTATAGTTAAATCATTTCTATCAGTTATTTTCAAATAAAAATTTCTTAAAATATATCCAAGTGATTCATCATTTATGCAAAAAGATAATGAAATAAATGAATTAACATATATGAATAGATACTTTCTGTAGTGATGATAAAAAGTATATCTTAATAAATGTTAAACATGAAATAAAATTAATGAAAATTTAAAACTTTATTCATATATATTTCAGATACAATTGGCACAAAAATGATTCATGCCAAACAGTCACCACCTCCAAGTCCTCCTCTTTCATTTCACAATTCTTCACCATTACCATCTCCAATTCCTAGTCGAACTGAAAAACACAGTGCTACAGCAAAACGATCAAAATTTCTAAGACGTCTCATTTATTTTCGTCACATGGACTTTGAATTTGCATTATGGCAAATGTTATATTTATTCATATCACCACAGAAAGTGTAAGTAGCATTACATTCTTTAATCTATTTTAACTGATTTTCAAAATAAATATCATCAAAAGTATCAAGCTGTTAAATATATAATTCACATAATTAAAACATTTTAAAATATAACAAATGTACAGCCTGATAAAAATTGTTGTACCGTTGAAAATAATAGTTTGTATGTTAAAATATGATGGTGATGATAGATGAAGTTCTGTTGTAAGAATTTGAGGAAAATGTAGAAATTTTTATTTCAATTCTTTAAAAATCATTTCACTAGGCTTTAAGATAGAATTTTATGAAGTTGTTATAAAATAGCATAAAATTGCTAAAATTGCTATTGTGAGGATTTAAGCTCTTTTGTGAATTTTAAAGCTTCAATATTTTTTTTCTAAACATTATTTCCCTTCTTCCTCCAGAAAATTGAACCCTTCTTTCTCCCGAAAATTGAAGGGTTGAAAGGTCTAATTTCGACCTCCCTTGCTGGGAGGTCGAAATTAGACCTTTCAACCCTTCAATTTTCTGTCTCACTTCGAGAAGTGACCTTTTAAACTTTCAAATACATTTTGGACGACAGATAAGATTCTCCCCTCGCAACCGGGGATTATTCATTTGTACCTTTGTTAGGATCTACAAATAACTAGCCAATTAAGAAGAACCTAAACTTGTTACTTGATAGAGGGTAACAAAAAGGTCACCAACAAGGGGAGTCTGAACCGAACAAACCCACACACTTCCTATTTTGTTCAATTTTAACATTGATAAAACCGATCAGATGATCCACCAAATGAACAATTATTACTAAGGTTGCACTACATACCCTGACCTTAGTCACCTCCAGCAATTAATTCGGTTTGACAGCTGTTATCAATTTTATCAGGTAGAAAGAGTAACAATATCGGATAGAAGAAATAATAAATTTAAAGAAATGTTCAATTTCTGACAATTAACGTAAACAACACCCAGATGCAAATTGAACTTAGATGGGATTGCATCAGAACTTTCCCTGATAGTTCCCCCTCCAGGACATGTATAAAAAGGGATCTTCCCTGCGGCGATTGCCCCAAGGCGCATCGTAGGGAAGACACTAGGCCAGAACCAATTCGGATCCCTGCTCAGCGCTCCCGAAGTAAAGACTTCTCAGAACTTGATTGCCATGGCAAAAGAGGTAATCACTTAGAATATTTTAAACCTCTCTCTCTCTCTCTCTCTCTCTTGGTTATAGGCTAGATTTAGGTTAACTTAAGGAATATTGGGACCGATAAAGGTCCAGTACTTAGACGGTCTTTTGCGTTAGAGTGTCATTGTCACAACTTAGAAATTTTGTCACTATTTACATTTTTGTGTTCGCTTTGTATAATTATTTGTTTATTAAATATGTTTATCTTATCTTTAATTTCGTGTCATCCTTGAGTACAGCCGACACCTTGTCACAACCTTGCTAACCTGCCACTCATTTACCACATAGACAATCCCTGACAAAGAAGCTGATAAGTGGGGACAAGCTCGGCGCTCGACCCACTCGGTTCACACTATCATTTATATTAATTAATAACAATATTTGTATATTTTAATATAATTATTTTTGTATTCATCATGATTATATGAGATATTAGATAAAATATATATAGCCAATTATAAACAAATCAAAATCATTTCTGTAAACATTTTT